TGAGTTATTAATGAATTCTCTTAACTGCCTAATGTGGTAGAACCTCTGCATGCCCTGCCTTTGATCTGTCCAGTCTTTCTTCAACTGTACTGACTTTCTAGTTCTACATATGCAAACGCTGGCTAAGGGACATCCTCTTGGCAAGTGTACTTCCTGTCTTCCCTACTTGATCATAGTTAACCTTCTGATAGCTAATCATTATCAGTAACTGCCATCTCTTCTTTCGTTCATTTAGAGGAAAGTAGCATTTGTGTTTTATGAATAATATAGATGCTTATCAACCTTGTTCAGTTTGGCACCATAGTCAAGTCTGCGTTTGGAATCTTGCAGTATCCTCTAGGCTCAGTCTCCGTAAAATCAAGCTGGGTCCTTTCTGCTCATGACTGTGTCCCCATCACCAAGCACAGTGCCTGGCACATGGTAGCATGTAGTATACACAAGTCAAGTTCTAACAGGAGCAAGGGGAGAGAGTAGAAGGAGGAGAGAAGAAGAAAGAGGAAGAGTTTGTCCCCTTGGGTGTCAACTGCTCTAGAAAACTTAGAACTGTAATAATAATACTGGTGGTAAGAGCTAATATTTTTTTAGCGCCTACCATATTCTAGGACTGCAGTATATTATCTCATTTTATCCTTGTAACAACACTATGAGCTAAGTGCTATTTTTATCTCCATGTATGTAAGAATGAAACTTCGGCTCCAAGAGGTTAAGAACTTATTCTAGATCACCAGGCTAGTATGTGGCAGAATCAAGCTAGGCCTGACAGTTCTGCAAAGTCGATGCTCCACACCAGAGCCAATTGCACCCACGTGCATGGCTCTAGGATTTCCGCTGAAGCCTGCAGCGGACATTGCATCTACTCCAACTGCCGGTACGTCACATTTTTTAAGGTGTCCTCCGCATCTTCCACTGAGTCTTCTGCTCTTCAAGTTAAACATCCCCAGGTCCCCAGTTCTTCCTTGCATGGCATGGTTCACAAATCTCTCCCCCTTTTCTAAGATTGCTTTACCCAAATTGGTTGTTGTGCCAGGTCACTAAATGATTTACAAGAGGAGTGTATATGTGCGTGTATATGTGTGTATATGTGTTTGCATGTGTATGTGTGTATGCATGGGTGTGTATGTGTATGCATGATTGTGTGTATATAGATATGTGTCTGTGTGTGTAGAAGGGAAGAATAAATGTTAAAGGAAGACAAAGCAGGACCTGTTTCCTGTCTGTTTGCTTTTTATTTTTGTGGGCACTTAGTAGGTATATATTTATGGGGTACATGAGATGTTTTGATACAGGCATGCACTGGGAAATAGGCACATCATGGGGAATGGGGTGTCCAGCCCTCAAGCATTTATCCTTTGAGTTACACATAATCCAATTACACTCTTTATTTTAAAACGTGCAATTATTATTGACTCTAGTCACCTCGTTGTGTTATCTAATAGTAGGTCTTACTCATTCCTTCTACTTTTTTTGTACCCATTAACGATCCTCACCTCCCCTCACCAGCTCCCAGCTATCCTTCCCAGCCTCTGTGTCCATGAGTTCAATTGTTTCTATTTTTAGATCCCACAAATAAGTGAGAACATGCAATGTTTGTGTTTCCATGCCTGGCTTATTTTGCTTAACATAATGACCTTCAGTTCCATCCATATTGTCGGAAATGACTGGATCTCATTCCTTTTTATGGCTGCATAGTACTCAATTGTGTCTATGTCCCCTATTTTTTTTTAATCATTCATCTGTTGATGGACACCTAGGTTGCTTCCAAATCTTAGCTATTGTAAACCGTGCTGCAGCAAACGTAGGAATAGATTTCTCTTCAACATGCCGATTTCCTTTCTTTTGGGTGTATACCCAGCAGTGGGATTGCTGAATCATATGGTAGCTCTATTTTTAGTTTTTTGAGGAATCTCTAAACTGTTCTCCATAGAGGTTGTACTGACTTACATTCCCAAGAGCAGTGTACAAAGGTTCCCTTTTCTCCGCATCCTTGCCAGCATTATTATTGCCTGTCTTTTGGATATAAACCATTTTAAGTGAGGTAAGATAATATCTGATTGTAGTTTTGATTGTCATCTACCTGATGATCAGTGATATTGAGCATCTTTTCATATGCCTGTTTGCTCTCTGTATGTCTTCTTTTGAAAAATGTCTACTCAAATCCTTTTCCCAATTTTAGATCAGATTATTAGATTTTTTTCCTAGAAAGTTGTTTGAGGCCCTTGTATATTCTGATTATGAATCCCTTGTCAGATGGGCAGCTTACAAACATTTTCTCCCATTCTGTGGGTCATCGCTCCACTTCGTTAATTGTATCCTTGGCCGTGCAGAAGCTTTTTCACTTGATGTGATCCCATGTGTCCATTTTTGCTTTGGTTGCCTGTGCTTGTGGGGTATTGCTCAAGAAATTTTTGCCCAGACCAATGTTTTGGAGGTTTTCCAAACATCTTTCCCAACATCCCCTAGGGGTAGTCTCACAGCCTCCGATTGCAGTTGAAAACATCGGATGAAAACAAAATACTAAAAGGTGAATGTGTTCCCTAAGTCGTAGAGATAGCCAACATATCAATTTTCTTATAACCCCATTTGTTTCAACAAAGGACTTGAATATGTCAAATAACTCTGTTTTTATTGGGTTGCCTGTGCTTATGGGGTATTGCTCAAGAAATATTTGCCCAGACCAATGTCTTGAAGATTTTCCTCAATGTTTTCTTGTAGTAGTTTCATAGTTTGAGACTTAGATTTAAGTCTTCAATCCATTTTCGTTTGATTCTTGTGTATGATGAGAGATGGGGGTCTAGTTTCAGTCTCTGCATATGGTTATCCAGTCTTCCCAGCACTATTTATTGAACAGACTGTCTTTACCCCAGTGTATGTTTTTGGCACCTTTGTCAAAAGTGAAGGACCGGTCTTAAAATGAGGCTTTTCTTGATCAGGACCACTTAGTGAGCCTGCAGTCTGGCACTCGTTCATCCTTGAAGACCAGTAATATTTCCTAGATAAGTGAATACAAGCACATTCCCAAGACTTGAATGTCCATGTATGATGAAGTGAGATCTGTTTTCTCTCCTTGTCTGGAGGCCAAAGACATTTTCCATACCCTTGTACGAAAAATTTTGCTGCAGGGAAAGCAGGAGCTCTCTTCTCTTCTGGAAGGTAGCCATCTAGAGATGAAATCACTTACATTTGAGAAGTTCTTTCTACCTGATGTATTAGAATAGACCAGGAGTTCTTAAATTTTCTTGTGCCATGGACCACCTGGATGTCCAATGAAACCTATGGATCCTTTATGAGAATTGTGTTTTTAAATGAATAACCTAATTACATAGGAATTCAAAGGAAATCAATTATATTGAAATGTAGAAAATAAGTATTTTTAAATTGTAATCCAGTAACAATGTGCTTCTCTATTAGGGATTTATATGTTAATATATATGTCTAGTAACTATCATATAAAGTAGTAATAAGCATAAGTGCTATTTCAAGATCTCTGTAACAACTCTCATATGAAATGAAAATATCTTATTGCTCTTAGTGACACAGGCACAGGTATTGTTAGTTTGCCACCTACATTCGTAACTGAAAGAAATGCTAATTCAACTAGAAGGTAGTGAAAAAACATATGCAATTCTTTCCCAGCAAAATTCATAGATGCCCTGAATTCCATGGCCCACAGGATAAGAACCCCCAGAATAGAGGGTTGAAACATTAGAATCCTAGCTGAGAGAAACTGTAGGAAACACCAGCTCATTTTACAGATGAGCAAAGTTTGCTTCTGAAGGTTTAAGAAGATCTTGGATGTTGTGATGTACCTTATAGGTTCTAGTATTTCATATTTTGTCTTACTGAGAAGTCAGTGGGGGAAAGTAAGAGTGAAAATTTTGGACAATTGTCGGCTTGGAACAATTTGATTTTCATCATTTCTAAACTGAATGTGGAGAAAAGAAAAATAAAATGGTCCTGTGTACAATGGGTCTCACCTCCCGAACCCCTGGCCAGGGCTTGCATTTTTTTCCCTCACCCCATACACGCAGGTCCAAAAACATCTCTCACCTTCTAAAAGGACGTCCCTAAGCATTCAAAGAGGCACTCTGTTACTTAAAGCTAACAGTGAAAAATACCATGGTGGGGAACCTGCACTTAAACTTCAATAGATCCTTTCAAAGAAAGTAGCCACTTCTTCAATGGAAGGTTGTCCCTTACATCTTGACATATATAATAAATTCCCAAACACTCCTGGAGCCACGTGGGCTCCTGGCAGACAAACCGTCAGCAGATGTAACTGGATACCGCCCCCCAGCTTTACTCTGACCTCCTGCCTCGTGCCCAACTAAGTCATTCAAGCCCCCAAAAGGAGCAAAAAATAAACTGTCTTTACTCTGTCTTCCCACTGAAGACAACAGAGTATCTGAAGATCTGAAAATATTTTATATCGTTTCAGATCTGGAAGTTACCACGGGGCTGATCTATCGGGGTTACTAACGGTAGTTCGGGTGGGATAATTCTTCCTTATGCAGAAGTATCTGAATCCCCCGCACCAGGTGCCAGAAGCACCCACACTGTCACCCTCAATGACAGTCAAAAGTATCTGCCCACCTTTCCAAACATCCCCTAAAAGTAGTCTTACAGCCTATGATTGCAAAAGGTTGGAAACGTCGGATGAAATCAAAGTACAGAAAGGTGAGTTCCCTAAGACATAAAGATAGTCAATATATTCATTTATTTATAACCTCATTTCCACAAAGGACTTGAACGTGTTGAATAACTCTGTTTTTATTTGGCATAATTCTTCTTATCTCTATCTACACATCATAAGAGAACTGCCCACAGCCACACAGCTAGAAAGTAGAGGAGATCAGAACTTGTGCGTTTAGCATGCGTTCCACCATGTTACTCCCTCAGCCACTCAGTCCTGTCTGCAGGGCACTGGGCAATTGCAGATTCCACATTTCAGGCCTGGTGCCACCCTGACCTTCTGAGCCTGACAAATGCCGTCATCCACACAGGTGCTGCAGGGAGCAGCGACATGCTTCTACGCTTTCATTGGCTTCGACATCATCGCCACCACTGGAGAGGAAGCCAAGAATCCCAACACATCCATCCCTTATGCCATCACCGCCTCCCTGGTCATCTGCCTGACAGCCTATGTGTCTGTAAGTACCAAATGCTTGTGTGACCCTCCTCACCATGTGACTCTGGCACCGAGCTCCCTTCTCTGTCAGGAAGGAGTCTTCTCCTGTGTCTTCTTGGTGTCTGTGTGCCTGTGTCTTTTGCTGCCATAGCCCCATTCCCCACTCCCCATGACAAGAAAAAAATTAGGACTCCAGACTGAAGAAGAGGAGAAGCCCCAGACCTTCACTTCAGCCTTGGCCTTCACTCCCACCCCTCCATCCGCACAAGCTCTTCGAGTCTGCTGCCGCCCCAGGGGCTGGTGTGCAGGGAATGGGCTGCCATCCAAGGAGCTCAGGTCATAGGCTGGCAGTAACGGGTGGGTGTGCGAGCAAAGGCATTGTGGGCCTCTGTGCACATTCCTCAATGCTCTTCTGTCTTCGGGGAGTTTCCCGGCAGCAAAGAGGCGAGGCTCCCTGCACAGCGGAGAGAGAGACTACATTGTCCTCTACAGACTCTCTTCCCCTTAAATCTGGGGAGGAAAGTGCCATTTCTTTCCGGCTGTTGCTCCCACTTTCTACACCAGCTCAAATTCACCTTTGGGTTTCCCTACCCTAGGGGAAGCCCAGAACAAAGAGTTCAGCCTTGTCTTCTTCAGGATCACGCCCCCCGAGACATCCTCATACTTTGACATTTGCTTTCTCAGATCCCACCCCAGAATTTCTATCACAGAAATAGCCCAGCTGCATCCAACATCTCCCTCCTGCTCCTGGCAATCAAGAGGGAGAGAATCAGCTCCCAGGCCAATGAGTATATGGTTCCACAAACATTCTCAGTTCCTGAGGGGTCCCCTCACTTGGGTCACCACAATTAGGAAAGAGCCAGCAGCGGTGGCGGAGCCGGAGGTGCTGCCACTGATCAGCCCTGCTGTTTCTCTTTCCCAAAAAGACATCTTTAGCAACTAGCTAGAAAGCCAGACCTAGTGAACATTAAGGCAAGCTGCAAAACAGGATTGTTCTAGAAGACAGAGGAAAACACAGAGCAAACTTGGGGGTGGTTTACAGACATTCAGTTGACTACCCAGAGGTTCTATGGGTGCCTCAATTATCACCTCCCCCTATACACACACATGCAAGTGGCTTCATCCTGTCCAGACCCCGATGATCCCTGTGGGCAGAATGTTGAAGGAGAAGTCATGGGGTGGGAGAAACAGCAAGGACACTCTGTGTTTCTCTTTCTACTCCTCCTTCATTCCTGCCCTTCCTCCAGGGGTGGGTCCCTTACAACACACACAATAAACTCAGTCATCACAGTGCCTCCCTTAGAATCGACCACAGAGTACTTCTACGCATCCACCAACTTTTTACCCATCCTGATCTAACTTAGGAGCCTCAATCCCACTCTCCTCCAGCCCACCTTGTCCCATCCCCAAAGGGGATATTGCAAGTGGTTATGTTACTAGGAAACATTCTCTTTCATATTGCTCAGGCCTTAAACACTCCCTAGGAGCTGTTTGGTCTTGTACTGGTCAGCAGGCAGCCCCTTCACCACCATGAGAAAAACGAGGTTACTGGGCTGTGATGGGACATCATGTCCTTCCCAGTGACCCTTGGCTCTGCTGGAAGACCTTGGCTCCAGAGGAATAGGCAAAAAATGGCCTACATGTGACCACCCTCTTTCCTTCAGGCTTTGAATTCCTTCCTTGATGCCAAGTGGGGGAGCCCCATATCTGGCCAAATGACTTGTGGCTCCATTGCTGATGGCCAATTCTGAAGGCAGGGGTGTTAGTCAGATCAATAATATGTGAAGGGAGCAGATTCTGGGAGCATCCAATCAAGTGCTTATCACCTCCTCCAGGCACACGTGTGCCAATGGCTTTGTCCTCTCCATCCCTGATTTCTCCCCATAGGCAGAGTGTTGATGGAGGGGTGGTGGGATAGAGGGAACAGCAAAGACACTCTGCTCTTTATTTCCCCTTCTGCTTCTCCCTCGTGTCTCCCTCTTCCCTGGGGGTGGACCCTGGCAGCACACACATTAATAATTCCTGATTAAGCAAAGCCACTATTGTCAGCCAGTCATACAGTCAGTAGGACTTGACTCTGTCCTGAGCTGTAATTTGTTTGTTGACCTGCCTGGCTCCTAGGACTAAGCTAGAGAAAGGAAATAGAAATATGAGTTCTCCTCTGGGTCCCAACATTAATAGGCCATAGACCTCTTAAGCACTTACCTTTGGAGATTTTATCTCTGGTGTTTCACAGTGAAAGGGAGCACAGATAAGACCCTGTAGTACAAGAAAGTGTAAGAGAAATGAGAGCCTGGCCCAGGTGAGCAGGATGCCCCTGGTCCCTGCCAGGTCCTGGCTGCAGCTCCTTCCTTCTGGAAATACCTGCTCTCCACTGAACTGTCAGCATAGATAGCTCTGCTTTCATGGGGCGAAATACCTGCCAACTTACTCCTTAGATATCAAGAGTAACCAGATATCTTACCAGAGATAAGATAGAGAGTTTCTGGCCCAGTCCACTAAATTCACATGTGGGGAGAAGATATTGAGAAAGGCCTAGAAGCCAGATGACTGGTCTACAGTAAAGGCACATGTCAGCAAGTGGAGGATCCAAACTGCCATGCTAGCCTCTGCCTCCAGGGGTGGGGCTCTTTCCTCTCCCATGGGGCCTCCATCCACGCTGTTCTTCGCCTGTACCTCCAGCCCCGTCTTCTTTTGTTTTAACAGGTGAGCATGATCTTAACTCTGATGGTGCCATATTATGCCATTGACACGGAATCCCCACTCATGGAGATGTTTGTGGCTCATGGGTTCTATGCGGCAAAATTCGTAGTGGCCATTGGGTCGGTTGCAGGACTGACAGTCAGCTTGCTGGGCTCCCTCTTCCCGATGCCAAGGGTCATTTATGCCATGGCTGGTGATGGGCTCCTTTTCAGGTAAGGGCTACGCTCCATGAAATTTGTCCTGCTCTGCCACGCCTATCCAGGGAGAATGTCTACATATTGTCAGCCTGACTGTAATTTTGATGTCAGTGCCTTTCACCTGGACTGTGGACCTTGTCATATATCCTGGAGAAAAGTCTGAGTGAACAGAGCTCAGGCCTTGAAGCAGCCCCTTAGTTTAACTCTGGGGTCCCTTAATCCAGCGCAAGCTGATGTGTATCCCCCACTTCCCTCCTCCCTCCTGTTGACATTGTGTGAAGATGTGTGAAGATGATGGGCACCAAACTGTTGTACTGGGTGACTTCCAGAAGGAAGAACCCATCCCAGGGACATCTTAGGCCTGCCCTCATATTGAGAGCTGGCAACTGCCCCTCTCTCCACAACCCCTCTGAAATTGAAAGAAAATCAACAAAGAGTACATCGGACCCTCTGAACAATTCCTAACAATAGCAACAACACCAGCTGCCATTCATTGCACATTTGTGTATCCTCGGTGCTGTGTATACAGTATTCCACTTAGTCCTCATTATAACTCCATTTTGCAGACAAAAAAGTCTACTAGGACTCAGAGCGGTTAAAAAAAAAATGCCACAAATCCCTCAGCTACTGAGTGGCAGGTCAGGATTTGATCCCAGAACATCCAACTCCAAAAACCAGACTTTTAACCACACCATTATACTGGCAGTTCTTGCCCCTTACATTGGCCATGAAGTGGCCTATCTGCCCATGGTACAAAAAAGATGTGGCCTCATCTCTTTGTTTCCAGCCTGAGGGGCCTGCTGAGAAGGCATTCTTCAAGTGCACAAAGCAAGGAGTAAACTGTGGAGGGCAAGGAGCTCTCAGGTGTGCAGAGGGGGCTGGTTCAGGGACTCTGTCTCTGCAGCCATCATCTTCCAACTCATTTCCCCTGCAAACCCTCTGAAGCCATCGCCAGGTCAGAGTTGATGTGTTTAGGTTGCTGAAGAGATCAAGAAGGGCCTAGGGTGATGGAGGTGTGGCAACTTCACACATCCAAAAGATTTTTCTGCTGTCAAAGAAACTAAGAGGAAAGATACTTAGGCTTTAAGCACATTTCCAGGTTGTGTGAATCATAAAGATATGGGACCAGGAGGAGAGAGGAGGGGAAAGGGAGCCTACTGTATGTGCCATTCCGTCGCTCTTGTTGTTCCCTTCTTCGGCAGTCACTAGCTGGACTTGAGCCTGTATCTATGAGCACAATCTCTCAATTACTGTGCTATTTTGCCAACTAAACCCATGAACTTTCATTATAGGTGGTGTCTCAAGCTTTGGCATAAATAAGAATCCTCTGGAGGTCTTTTAAAGCAATTTGCTAGGCCTCACCCCCCCCCTATGATTCTGGTATAAAAGGTCTTGGGTGAAACCTGAGAATATACATTTCTTACAAACTCCATGAGGATGCTAAAATGCTAATTGACAGGTCAGGAGAGCCCCCAGGCACATGCGTGACTTCCTCCAACCATAACTTCCTCACGCAGAGCTTGGGCTTCAATCGAGATCACTGAAAGACAGACCTCCTAGGTTCAATCAACTGTTCCCATTACATAATGATTAGGAACTTTACTAAAGAAGTTTGCCTTGAAATCAAAGAATTAGGCTGGGCGCTGTGGCTCATGCCTATAATCCCAGCACTTTGGGAGGCTGAGGTGGGCGGATCATGAGGTCAGGAGTTTGAGACCAGCCTGGCCAGCATGGTGAAACTCCGTCTCTACTAACAATGCAATAATTAGCCAGGCGTGGTGGTGTGCCTGTAATCCGAGCTACTCAGGAAGCTGAGGCAGGAGAATCGCTTGAACCAGGGAGACAGAGATTGCATTGAGCTGAGATTATGCCACTGCACTCCAGCCTGAGCAACAGAATGAGACTCTATCTCACCAAAAAAAAAAAAAATCAAAGAATTAAAGTAAATTCTCTTTTAATTATATTCCAAATCCTGGGGTAGGAATAGCAGCTGAATTTAAAGTAGTGAATGCAGAAGTAAATTGGGGCAGCAAGACCAGGAGGAGTTGATCCCACCAGCCTATTAACAGTTTAGCTCCCTGGAATCGGTCACTGTAGCCCACCATTAAACCCTCTGCTTGCACCGCCCCTCCAGGTTCCTGGCTCATGTCAGCTCCTACACAGAGACGCCGGTGGTAGCCTGCATCGTGTCGGGGTTCCTGGCAGCGCTCCTCGCGCTGTTGGTCAGCTTGAGAGACCTGATAGAAATGATGTCCATCGGCACGCTCCTGGCCTACACCTTGGTCTCTGTCTGTGTCTTGCTCCTTCGATACCAACCCGAGAGTGACATTGATGGTTTTGTCAAGTTCTTGTCTGAGGAGCACACCAAGAAGAAGGAGAGCATTCTGGCTGACAGTGAGAAGGACGCTTGTTCTCCTGTGAGTGAAGGGGATGAGTTTTCTGGCCCGGCCACCAATACATGTGGGGCCAAGAATTTACCATCCTTGGGAGACAATGAAATGCTCATAGGGAAATCAGACAAGTCAACCTACAACGTCAACCACCCCAATTACGGCACCGTGGACATGACCACAGGCATAGAAGCTGATGAATCTGAAAATATTTATCTCATCAAGTTAAAGAAGCTGATCGGGCCTCATTATTACACCATGAGAATCCGGCTGGGCCTTCCAGGCAAAATGGACCGGCCCACAGCAGCGACGGGGCACACGGTGACCATCTGCGTGCTCCTGCTCTTCATCCTCATGTTCATCTTCTGCTCCTTCATCATCTTTGGTTCTGACTACATCTCAGAGCAGAGCTGGTGGGCCATCCTTCTGGTTGTTCTGATGGTGCTGCTGATCAGCACCCTGGTGTTCGTGATCCTGCAGCAGCCAGAGAACCCCAAGAAGCTGCCCTACATGGCCCCTTGCCTCCCCTTTGTGCCTGCCTTTGCCATGCTGGTGAACATCTATCTCATGCTAAAGCTCTCCACCATCACATGGATCCGGTTTGCGGTCTGGTGCTTTGTGGGTAAGCAACTTCCTTTGGAGCCTTGAGAGTTCTCTTTTAAGGTCTTAAGCATGCTTATCCGAAAATTACCTCCTAGCTGAACTAAGCAACTCCACTCAGAGAGAAATCTTGCTGGTTCTATGGACCCTTGTGTTCTGCATGAGAGTCAATCAATCCAGTTGTTCCCTTTCTGCCTGTAATGGTCTTAGTCATTGGTTCTGGAAAAATGATGTTGATTAATCCCTCACTTTACTGAATTACTGAAAGTTCTTTCTATATTAGGATACTTAATGCCAGAAAAAGCCCACTTAAAATGAATCCACATTTTTAAGGGGACAAAAATAGCATAGCATAATTGGGGTGGGGACATTTGGTTGGAATTTTTATCATAGAAACTAAGAATTGTAAAATGAAAAATATGAAAAGTTATCTTAGATTTCACAAAATTAAATTAAAATAGCAATTATGCTCTAATTTTTAAATGAACAAAGTGTGAATTAAGTGTGGATATTTTGGCATCATTTTTCTGAAAAAATTGAATCATGGCATCATTTAACATCTCTCACTTCATACTGACTTTTGTAAAAGATTCAAAAGTTCTTCATTTCTCCCAAGGTCCTTTCTTCATTTTTTGACATCCTGAGCATTCACTTGGGAAGTAGGCATCATGCCAGCATCCTTATTGATTTTCTCTCTCCTGCTATTAGTAACTAATATGACTCTCTTAGGTCCTCAATGACCCACAGTTTTGGGTGTGAATTCAAATTGTTCTCTAAACTCACTTTCATGGACTTCAAGAAGTCCTGTGCCTTTTCCAAGATTTCTAATTTTACTTTGTGATCTGTTTTATGGTATTTGTAGTACATGTTTATCATCTAGGACAATCTCTGATGCCCATGATCTGGCGAGGGATTGATGGTAGTAATAACTTGAGAAGTTTAAGGGAAGATTCATTTTAAGGTTCCTGAGTCACTATTTGTGTGTCCCCTATACAACTTAGTAACCCTGGGGTCTCTGATAACAAATTCTTAGCTAAAGAGAATCCTTAGAAGCTTTGGGGAACAGAAGATTAACCCCTGCCTAAAGGAGAGGCAAGACAAACACACATGAGTCATTTAGCCCAAGCAAGGCCAAAGAGACTCATTCATTCATTCATTCATTCATTCATTTTCCAAGATGGAGTCTTGCTCTGTCACCCAGGCTGGGTTGCAATGGCTTGATCATGGCTCACTGCAACTTCCACCTCCTGGGTTCTAGCAATTCTCCTGCCTCAGCCTCCCGAGTATCTGGGTCTACAGGCAAGCAACACCACGCCCAGCTAATTTTTGTATTTTTAGTAGAGATGAGGTTTCACCATGTTGGCCAGGCTGGTCTTGAACTTCTGGCCTCAAATGATCTGCCTTCCTTTGCCTCCCAAAGTGCTGGGATTACAGGCATGAGCCACAGTTCCTGGCAAGCAGATCACCTGAGTTTAGGAGTTCTAGACTGGCCTAGCCAACATGGCAAAACCCTATCTCTACTAAAAATACAAAAATTAGCCAGGCATGGTGGCTCTTGCCTGTAATCCCAGCTACTTGGGAGGCTGAGACAGGAGAATCGCTTGAACCCAGGAGGTGGAGGTTGCAGTGAGCTAAGAGCACACCACCACACTCCAGCCTGGGAGACAGAGCAAGACTCCATTTCAAAAAAAAAAATGTGTTTTAATTTTTAATTTAAAAAAAATTTTTTAATAAAATCTCTTATCTCTAAACAGTTTTCTACTGGAACATGTAGCTAGCCAATGCAAAGACTCTACTCTGGATAGAAGTGATGGAAGTGGGTAGAAATATTTTAGTCATATATTTGTCAGATTAATAAAGACACAGACACAAATACACATAGACTTATTTATTCATAGACTATTAAAGCTGAAAAGGGCCTTCAGTGTCTAGTACAATACTACCCACAGTGTGGTGCCCATTCCATTGATAATATTTTCAGCTGGTATTAGAAAGCATATGAATGAGCTTTTAAAAATATTGTATAGTTATTACACATTTTCACCTGTGTTAGAAAAACCACACATACATATGAAATCTGGTGATTTCACAAATACTTGCAAAGAAACTATAGATGATGTTTTTAATTTAAATTGTGAGTCATATTAAAGAAAAAACCATGAGTTCTATAGTACATGTACCGTATGATTCATAGGAGTAGTAATAATTAGCACTTATGCAAACTTATCACATATCAGCCATGATTCTGTGGGCTTCCCTTACTTAATCCTCACAACAGTCTCTATTTTACAGATGAGGAAACTGAGGCACTTGCCAGTGGTCACATAGCTAGAATATAGAAGAGCCAAGATTAGAACTCAGGGAGTGTGGAGCCAGAGGCCATGGTTATAGCCTAAATTGTCATATACTAAACATGTGGTATAGAAGTAACTGGAGTTGGAGAAATACTGATATAGTCCACCTCCCTCCTACTTCTCCCTCTCTCTATTTTATGGATGAGTAAACTGAACCTCCAAGAAGTTAAATAACATGCTCAAATTCAACAGGAAGTTATTCAAAGAGCTATTACTAGAATTTGGTATACCCATGCTCAAATGTGGGGCTCCTACTACTCCGCCACAGTGCCTCTGAGCAGACTCATTTCATAGAACATTTGGTAGAGCCCAACACATAACATCAGGACTGGCCTCATGGGCATACAGCTGTGCACAGGGTCCCATGCTTGGTTTAATGCTCTGCTGCTGCCATCTTGAATTCTTAATAAATTCTGAACAAGAGGCCCCAATGTTTTCATTTTGCGTTGAAAACCCTATAGCCAGTTCTGCAGAATATTTATGGCTCCTGAAGCACCAGAGGCATTTTGCAAAAGCAGTCAGGTGGGAGGGGCCCTTTCCTTTGGAGTCAAACAGCATCAACTTCAAATCACAGCTCGGCCCTCTTTTGTCTTGTGACTTTGGGAAATTTACTTAACTTCGTTGGGCCTCAGTTTACTCATCTGTAAAAATGCAGATAATTCTATCAGCCTTGACCTGGTTACTCTTTGGGACTTAAATGAGAAAATGTTCGGAAAAGCAATAAGAAACATGTATTTAATGCCTTTCTTTTAAAAATCTAAAACGATTCATTGTCCACAAGAATGGACAGACTGGCTATCATATGCCAAAGCACGATGTGAGCCTTCAGCGACTCAGACTGCCCTTCCAGCTATCAGGCAGAGAAAAACTCCCTGAGCATCTTTTGTAATCTTGCTGATAGCACAAACTCCCTCCAGAAACTGCTACTCACTGACTCAGAAGAATGCCACCCTGCAGAGTGGGGCTGACCAGCCAGAGGGCATAGGTGTCTGCAGTTCAGCCAGCACCGAATGATTCCAATATACAGCCTGCAAATCACTTTTGGGAAGGACTGCTAGCATTTGTGGGCACCTGCTGCTAACTGCTTTAGTATCATGATTTTTGAAGGCAGCTATTTAACTTAGTTTCACCCAGAACAAAGATGCTCAACTCCAGCTACACATCAGTATCACCCTGGGTTGCTTCTGAAACATTCTAAGCCCAGACTCCCTCAACAGAGATTTTCTGATTCAATTGGCCTGGTGGCCAAGTGTTGAGGAATTTTTTCAGTTCCCTAGGTAATTTTAATAGGCAGCCAAGTTGACAATTATCTAGATCAATGGTCCTCAAAGTGTAACCCCAGAGCAGCAGCATCAATGTCATTGGGGAACTAGTTAGAAATGTGATTTTGAGGCTGAGCATGGTGGCTCACGCCTGTAATCCCAGCACTTTGGAAGACCAAGGCAGGTTGGATCAACTGAGGTCAAGAGTTCGAGACCAGCCTGGCCAACATGGTGAAATCCTATCTCTACCTAAAGTACAAAAGTTAGCCAGGCATAGTGGTGGGCGCCTGTAATCCCAGCTACTCAGGAGGCCGATGCAGGAGAATCTCTTAAACCTGGGAGGTGGAGGTTACAGTAAAGCAAGATCATGCCACTGCACTCCAGCCTGGGCAACAGAGCAAGACTCCATCTCAAAAAAAAAAAAAAAGGAAAAAGAAATGTGATTTCGAACTCCACCCCAGGTCTACTGATTCAGAATCTCTGAAAGCAATTTAGGGTATAACAAGTCCTCCAGCTGACTCAAATGTTTGTCACTGCTCTAAGGGGAGAAGAGGGGAGAAATTATCAGGCAGGGCAGATAATTTAAATTACAAAGACTTGTTTTGCAAAAACAATTTTTGCATATATAAGCTATATCCAACCCACAACCCCGAATTGGCTATAAAATCCTTAATGGTCTTATAACCCAAATATCTCACCTCTGAATTTCTGAGCCTCCAAGATACCAGATTTTTCTTAATCTCTCTATATACAGTGTAACTTTCCTGGGGAGAACAGTAGAGGTATTTTTAAATAGAGCTTCTTATGAAACTGAAGATTTACATGATTAGGCTGAGTCATAATGTGATAATCATCTTAGGCGCATTTTTTATCCAAGCTTTTCTAAATGAATCTTAATTACGGCATTTTTGTAACAATGTTTTGCTAAGCTTTTGACCTTCAGAAGAGCACAACTCAGAGCATAAAATGAGGCACAAGCCCCAGCAAGATTATCCAGCACATGTTTCTTTTCCTTCAGACAAGAAAAGGAATACAAACAGCAAATGTGTATTAAACCCAAAAAAGTGAGCACACAGCAGCCTTCATTTTCCTTTTAACTGATGCCGTTTTGTGAAGGAAGCTCTCAAGGGGTTGGGCAGAGTCTCAGGGAACATGGAACTAGCAGGTGCTCAGTGAGAATCCTGCATGCTGCTTATTTTCCAAGGCATCTCTCAGGGCTGCTGTGCCCTGTGGGTTTTTATTATAAAGGAATCTCCTGTTAGAGTAGCTTGCCCTGACCATGGGAGTCGCCATGTTGTCATGCAGGAATTTTTTCAGTCTCTCTGAGGAAAACAAATTCTGGTCTATAGATTTAGAGGACAGGACTTGTGATACAGACAATGGACCTCATGAATCCTATCTCAAAACAGAAATGTTCCAAAGAGAAGACACACCTTATGATCTATACCTGAGCAATTATCTGAAATCCAACTGGAAATTGACCCAAAGCAGCCATGTGATAAAGAGAAAAGGAGGGAAGGAAAAAGCAATGAGTTGGGACCTGATAACTAAATTATTGATGACGTATCCCATAAATAAGCTTGAAATTCTCCTTGGAGGCAGAGGAAAAAACAACTGGCTCTTCCAATGTCAAAATCATGCTCAGATGAGCAAGAATAATCCTGAAGGCTAGGATGAGGTGACATCAGGGCTGCTGGGATTCCAACGAGGGAGTGTGAAGGTGGAGTGTGGAAGGGAATCATGCAACCGTGAGGCTATCTGCTGGCAGAGGTCCCCTGCGGGACATAGAGGGGGCAGAGCACTCACAGGGCTCTGCAACCAGTGACAACTCCTGTGAACCCAATGAAGACGGAAAGGGCACTTGCAGAGGTGCAGGACACTGGAGCTGGCATGGGCAGCTTACCTGGAACAGAATTCAAGTTACAACAGGGGGGCTGCTTGCCTTCTTCCCCTCAACGTTGTGTTTGTGAGTCCATGCCCACTGTTGCTTGTAGTTTTAGCTTGTTCATTCTGGTTGCCGTCTAGTCTCCCACTGTGTTAATATACCACAGTTTATTGGTTCTAGTGTCCAGGGACATTTGGGTTGTTTCTAGTTTAAGGCTGTTACAAACAGAGCTGCTGTGAACTTTTTTTTTTTTTTTTTGAGAGTCTTGTTCTGTCACCCAGGCTGGAGTGCAGTTGTGTAATCTCAGCTCACTGCAACCTCCACCTCCTGGGTTCAAGTGATTCTCCTGCCTCAGTCTCCTAAGTAGCTGGGATTACAAGCGGCCGTCACCACGCCAGGCTAATTTTTGTATTTTTAGTAGAGATGGGGTTTCACCATATTACTCAGGCTTGTCTCGAACTCCCAATCTCATGGTCTGCCTGCCTCAGCCTCCGAAAGTGTTGGGATTACAGGCATGAGCCACCGTGCCTGGCTGAACATTCTTCTACATGCTTTTGGTGGACACATGGACACATATCTCTTGGGTTTCTGTTGAGTTAGGAATAGAATTGCTGGCTCAGACTACTAGGTTTTCTTCATATTCTTTAACAAGATTGCATTATTTCTCATGGCTGTTATATACCTCAAATAAAACAAGTGTCCCCAACGCCATTTTGCAGATGGGAAACTGAGACATAAAGTAGCATGAGTTCCCATTAGATCAGCTGCAGGATCATGGAGAGAATCTCCCCACAACTTCATGCTAAGCCTGCTCTTCCTGGCCACACCATATTAAACAAGCCCTGCTGTTATAGACAACAGGCTCATGGTGGTATTTTTAAAAATTATCAGCAATAGTGGGAGTTGGTGGGGATTGAGGTGGGTGGGAAGGATACCTTCTCATTACCATCCCATCTCCCTTTCTGCATTGGCAAATGTCTGTTCTGGAAAGTTGACCCCAGAGTAGTGAAAATAAAAAGCCCTCTGGGCATAACAAATTGCCTCAGCTATCTGCAGTAGGCAGGGCTTCCTGCTGGAAAGTGCACCCTAGGAAGAGGCAGCTCCACCCTGCCTGAGGTCAGGTGGCCCACCTCCCTTGGCCCTGAGCGTGGAGCCACATGGAGAGGACAGGGCGTTCCCAGGACTCAGGAGATCAGGGACCTGGTCTGCAACCTAAGTGTGTGCCCTTAGAGTTGGAAATCTGCTGTTATTGTTTGTGTTACCTGGTCTCTTCAGAGCTGTGCTTTTGTTCTAGGATTTTTCCTGTATGATCAAGACCCCCCTTTCACAGCCCTCTTACTTGTAGGTTTGGGATAATTTGCTTAATTTGCACAAGATGGATAAGCACAGGTGGGTGAGCAGGTGTATCAGCTGCTGATGCCAAGGTACCCTAGTATCTGAAGGCAAGTTTAGCTTTTCTTTTTTTTTTTTTTTTGAGATGGATTCTTGCTCTTTCGCCCAGGCTAGAGTGAGTGTAGTGATGCAATCCCAGCTCACTGCATCCTCCGACTCCTGGGTTCAAGCCTACTGAGCTGCTGGGCTTACAGGTGCGTGCCCCCACACTCAGCTAATTTTTGTATTTTCAGTAGAGATAGGGTTTCTCCATGTTGATCAAGCTTGTCTCAAACTCCTGACCTCGCGATCTGCCCACCTAGGCCTCCCAAAGGCTTAGCATTTCTAAACCTCCCCTGGAGGCACCTGAGTGGGACAGGAATAGCCCTCGGGTTAGAATTAAGAAATATGAGTCCCAGTGCTATTTCAGTCACTGATCTATCACGCAGTTCTTAACTTCCCTGGAATGATGGATGAGAAAGTGCTTTTTTTTTTTAAATAAAGTACGTTACAACCACAAAGTGTTTAATATCATAGAGAAAGCCCATTCCATTGCTAAAGGCCTGATTCTTCATCTTGTCTAGTCTGAACTTCTCATAGGCACGTTTTCCACAGGGGAACTTCTGTCTGGCAAAGAAGGCAAAGCCTCCCTTTGAATGTTTCCCTTCACTGCAAACAGACTTTCACAGGACTAATCACCATTACCTTTGACCAGGGCAGGCATGCAGCTCACGTGCCCCAATCCAACCATGTCTGTTGTTAAAATATTAAAACACTATTTTTTTTTTTTTAGAGACGGAGTCTTACTCTGTCACCCAGGCTGGAGTGCAATCAGCTCACTGCAACCTCTGACTCCTGGGTTCAAGCAATTCTTCTGTCTCAGCCTCCCAGGTAGCTGGGATCACAGGTGCCTGCTGTCATTACTGGCTAATTTTTGTTTTTTTTAGTAGAAACAAGATTTTACCATATTGGCCAGGCTGGTCTCAAACTCCTGACCTCAGGTGATCCACCTGCCTCGACCTCCCAAAGTCCTGGGATTACAGGTGTGAACCATCACACCCAGCCAGAATATTGAAACATTGCTAACTAGTCACTTTCCTACCAATGCCAGGCACCCTCACCATGACCCGTCAACTAAAAACATAATAAAATTCCAGCTCCGCAGAGGAGCCGCCAGGACCCTGCTGCAGCACGAAGGCGAGGCCTTCTCATGTTTACCATCACGCCTGCGCTCGTTCCTTACCCTAAGATGTCTAACTGCAAAGCAATGGTTCTAAGTTATCTGCTTTTAAGGTAAAGCAGAATTAAATATCCAAATAGAATAAATAGTATTGTTTATGAATTTGCCATCTTATTCTTGAGGCTTGGTTTAAAATGACTTCTGGCTTATGGCAAAATCAAATCCACTCTCAAAAAGTATAAGATTGCCATCTGTAAGAAGTTACAAAAGAATATGATGCCATTCCCAGCAACCCTTTTAGTTACCAGTGCCCAGAAACTACTTCAAGCAATGATGGCATCATGGGAATACGTGTGTAGCCTCATAAGGTGAAGAGGTTTCCCCACACATGTAATGACTTAGATACATTTTAATACTGCTGGATATCAGAAAAAAATAAGAAATAATTATTAATTTTAGGTGTGATTATACTGTTTTTTAGAGCTACATACTCAAATATTCACAAATCAAACCTATGATGAAAGGGGTTTGTTCCAAACCAATCTGTAGAGAAGGGGCCAGGGGAGGGAATGTGAGGGAGCGGGTGATGAGTACATGGGATTCACGATCCTATTCAATCCACTTCGGTACATGTTCTTCACAATAAAACGTTAAGCCAAATCATTTTCCATCCCTGGTAGATGGGAGCTGTAAGAGAGAGAGAATCGTCCTGGATTAGGGCATGGGGAGACCTGGGAGGATTCACTGTCTGCCTGCTCGCTGTGTGACTGTGGACTACCTTTATGTTTTCTGTGCCCACTGTCTTGTCATCCTGTCTATGAAGTGTGCAATGCACACACACACACACACACACACACACACCCCTTCCAGACAGGTTAAAGGGAGTCTAAACAAAACAAGATACTGTTTGTGTAGCATTTTGAGCTCCTTGGGAGAAAGGTACAACATCAATGATGTATCATTACCCTAACCCAGCACACACAGGTGTTTTGTGAAGTTTAGTTTAGATGATTCAGGATTCCCAGAAACCCCACAGATTTTTGAGAAATGACCTCATGCTTCATTCTCTCAGCCAACCGAGAAAAAAGAAGCAGGAACAAAACACCCTGCTTCTTGCTTCCACACAGGAGGCGTGGGGCAGCTCTGTTTACTCCTCCGACACAAAGCCCTTGTTTATGTGCGACAGATGGTAGTAGTTTCTCTTCTCTTCTCTCTCTCTCCCTCCCTCTCTTCATCTGTTCCCTTCTGTTTCTTTGTCCCCCTCCATTTTCCCTTTTCTCCAGTCCTTCTCAGCCTCACACCACTTTTCCTGAATTGACTCAAGGGCCAGCAAGAAATATACATACACAGATTGCCAAGTCGTAGAGGAATGGCTTTGTGTCTACTATTTATTCTATCCGGCTGCCCGCACACAGTCACCTCTTGTTTCACAGTATCATATTTGAAATGTGTTTTTGAAGACAGAGTGACACACCTTTGAAACTGCAGGGGGTTCAGGGCAAACATGAAAAGTCTCATAAATATGTATGTGGCAAGTTTCATGGGTTTCCTTCACAAAGTGTAAAGTAACCACAGTCAATGTGTGTGAGTGTGCACATGCGTGCACACACACACACGCACGCGCACACACACGTGCACGCACAGACACACACACGTTTTCCTTCTAGGCCTGGCTACTCCCAAAGCATAAATGTAAACCTAACCTCTTACCACATATTTACTGCAGTAAGCATCATCTACAAACCAGCCTGGGGGAGGGGAAGGGAGCTGTGAAGGACCAGACATGCAGGAGACTTCTCTCCTTTCATAGAAAAAGCTGATTCCTCTCCTTCTCAGATCCAGTAAGTCACTCATTCTCTCCCAGCTTCTGTTTCTTCTTCTGTAAAATGAAGGTTTTAGAATGCATAGGTGATGTACACAGTCTTTTTCAGCTCTAAATTTCTATGATTCAAAGTTTTTAGAGAATTCCCATAATATGAATCTACCTGTCACCCAAATACCTGTGGGTGCAGGGACAGGTCTGTTGGAATCAACAAACCAGTGATGAGTGATGTAAAACCAGTGACTGAGCAATGACCTGTGTCGTGGCAGAGGAGAGAACGTCAGAGCAAAGGGAAAAGAAAAAGATGGTATTCAGTTCAGTTGGGAAATGACTCATCTATAAGTCAAGTCAGAGAAGGGCATCAGAAAGGAAAGAATTGCCATAATAGATACCAAGCAAGAGTAGCAGGCAATATTTGGCATCTGCCTGTATGTCTAGAAGAAAAGATGGCAGAATAGCAAAGGTGTGCAAAAGGAGGTGTGCACAGGTCCTGCCTGGCTCAGGTCCTGCTTGGTCACCTGAAATGCATCCTCAGATCCCAAACATGCTTCGGACAGTGACATTCTCAAGAACAGGCACTCTGGCACTCTTAGAAGAGTCCTTAATGTGATGCCCTGTTCTACAGAAGGATAATAACGATCCCCCATGGCCACCCCGCACCAGACAAGAAAGAGTAAATACTCATGGTTTAAAAAGATGAAATGACTGTTTGAGAACTAATAGCTACATCTGCAAATGATTAACTCCAGGATATATTACGAATTAGGACTATAAATCTCTGCTTACTTTGGCTCCTGAAAAGTTGATTTAACTGGGGAGTGTGTGAGTGGGTGGGGACAAAGTCATTTGAGACACGGAGGAAGAAATCCAAGCTTAAAAAGACACACTTCAAATTCAGAAGAGAGCAAGATTTCCCAAGCACCACAACAGCAAAGCAGGCTTGATCTGTGGTTCTAAGCAAACCAGCCCAGCAGATGCCTGCAGGGTTAATAAGTCAAAGAGACTGATGCTACTCAGAGGATGTTAGGGCCCGGGAAGGAGGCTGCATACTGTGTGGACCCCAGAGCCTAGGCCATCGTATGGCCTGAGTGGGCAGTGGAACACAGGCATCAGCCACACTGCATTATCTCAGGGATACAGTGACCATTGGAATCGCCTGTGGAGCTTTAAAAACATACCTATGTGGGCCGGGCGCGGTGGCTTACGCCTATAATCCCAGCACTTTGGGAGGCAGAGGCGGGTGGATCACGAGGTCAAGAGATCGAGACCATCCTGGTCAACATGGTGAAACCCCGTCTCTACTAAAAATACAAAAATTAGCTGGGCATGGTGGGGTGTGCCTGTAATCCCAGCTACTCGGGAGGCTGAGGCAGGGGAATTGCTTGAACCCAGGAGGCGGAGGTTGCGGTGAGCCGAGATCGTGCCATTGCACTCCAGTCTGGGTAACAACAGCGAAACTCCGTCTCAAAACAAAAAAAAAAATACCTATGCTTGGGTTATACTGAAGACTAATTACATTGGAATCTCCAGGATGGGGCTTGGGTATCAGAGTGGTTCAAAAAACACCCCAGGTGACTTTCAAGTGCAGCCAGCCAGGGTTGAGAACCACCAGTTACCTCGTTTCATCCTCAAGCACTCCCATGTTAAGAGGGTTGCTATACCTCTCGTGGTTTTACAGAGAATGCTAAGGAACAGAGAGGCTAAGTAATGGGGACCAGGGTTACACAGCTAATACTGATGAAGGAAGGATTCGAACCCAGAGCCCAAACACTTACCTATCATGGTCTATGGACTCCAAGGTTCTCAGACTTCCAGGCCCTGAGCCTTCACAGTCTATTCAAGATAGAAAATGGGACTCGGGCCAGGCGTGGTAGCCCATGCCTGCAGATCACTTGAGTCCAAGAGCTTGAGACCAGCCTGGGGAACATGGTGAAGCCTCATCTCTACAAAAATACAAAAATTAACTGGGTGTGGTGGCATGCGCCTGTGATCACAGCTACTGAAGAGGCTAAGGCAGGAGAATCTGCCTGGGCTTGAGCCCAGGAGGCAGAAGTTGCAATAAGCCAAGATCACACCGCTGCACTCCAGCCTGGACAACAGAGTGAGACCCCGTCTCAAAAAAAAAAAAAAGAAAGAAAATAGGGACTCATAAATGAGTTTTATGTGTTTTTTTGATCATAGAAATGAAACATTAGCTCATATTAATGCTACATATTAGCGAGGGAGGCAGGTTTCTTTCCTTGGGTTGAAATGACATCAACACAGAGGTTACACTGGACATTTCCTGCTCATCAGTTCTCAGTTATTCATTCCACAAACATTAAGTACCAATTTTCTGCAGAGTCTATAAAATAGAAACAACCCTGTGCAGATAATCACACAACAGATGTTCTAAGGGCCATAATAGTGGCATGCACTAGACACCCTGAAAGCACACAGAAGAAAGCAGGCAGCATGGAGTGGCCGTGATATATTACGCCTTTGGTGAGTATAAGATGGCAATGCAAATCACAGGGTAATATACGCGTGCTGCCTAGAAGTGAAACAAGAGATGGAGTCCCTAAGCGGAGGCAGGGAATGATAAAATCTTATGAGAAGGTTGGGAATATACTGTTGCTGATCCATAAATACTTAACCCAGGGTAGAAAAATGCAAATTCCTAGCTGACAGCTACATGAGTGTAATGAGCTGGATGTCAGCAGGGGAGGTGGGGACTGAGGTGGCCTAGAGAGCCTGTATCCTGTATAAAGAGGCAGCTAGTTCTCACCACCAGGCAAAAATCACCATGTAGAAATGTGGATGCAGTGTTAGACCTTTTGACTTTTTAGGAAAATCTGTAAATATGGGTTACTTAATGCAGGATCTCTCAATTTTTAAATGGCATCTAATTCAAGTCTTCAAAACACCACGTAAACCAAAGAAAATACATTACCCACCCCCTCAACCACCTAGCTTTGATTTCATCATTGAAGGTGATCTCTCTGGTAGTTCCAGGATCTCAAAGCAACTGCTTATTCACCTGTACCCTTACCCCTCGCCCCACAGGTCTGCTCATTTATTTTGGATATGGCATCTGGAACAGCACCCTGGAAATCAGCGCCCGAGAAGAGGCCCTGCACCAAAGCACTTACCAGCGCTACGACGTGGATGACCCCTTCTCGGTGGAAGAGGGTTTCTCCTACGCCACAGAGGGCGAGAGCCAGGAGGACTGGGGCGGGCCCACCGAAGACAAAGGCTTCTATTACCAACAGATGCCAGATGAGAAGGCAAACGGCCGGACAAGTAGCAAAGCGAAGAGCAAAAGCAAACACAAACAGAACTCGGAGGTCCTGATTGCAAATGATGAGTTAGATTACTCTCCAGAGTAGGAGAAACACACAAGTGGGTAGAAATGGTCATGACTGATTTTCAGTAACTTAACCTGTGGGCTAGAAGGTGAAAACTTTTTTGGCTCTCATTTCACAAATCCAGCCTTCCCCAAATTCAATCCCTAGTCATAGCCTGTCATTTGCTACTTTTGCTCTTCAGGGTAGTTCTGTTGAAGGGCTTAACCTGCGTCCCCTAACTGGACGCTTGTTAAAAAAAAAAATGCTAAACAAGAGGCTACATGAAATTTCATCTTAGGTGCAACCATCAGAGCTGATGGTAGCAAATGTTTCCTGGGCCTTTGCTTTGCTGGTTGAATCTTTTTGCTTCTTATTGAGATCCCAAGAAGCAAGGAGCAAACTTCTTGGACCCAACTGAGGCTGCAGCTCCTCCTGGAGATATGCCCAAGCAGAGGCTGTGGGCACAAGGCAGAATTTCAGTCACCTGAGACGGGGACAAAGCTCTGCTCTTGGCATGTCAGCCTGCACGCTGCTCCCCCAGGTCAGGGTGGGTAGGTGGACATTGGCACTTCCTGAGCAAGCAACATTTTATCCTGCAATCTCACCCAAAATTAATTCATGGAGAAGACATATGCTTTTTTTTATTCACCAACATTCTCACAGCTTCCAAACTATAATTTTAGGATCCAGCAAAGGTCAGGGACTCTGAGACCATTTTCCCAAAGGTTTCAGATTCACCATAAAGCAGTCATGTAGACCGGGTAATATGGTAAGAAGCACCGTCAAAGCTCTACTTAAATGCCCAGAAGAAAATTAAACAACCATCTCTTGCAGGGAAGGCCGGAAGGGCATTGGCAGAAATTAACTCTCTGTCATGGCTTCTCTTATACCAGATTCCAGCTCCTGGTGATAGGATGAAAGAGGACAAAGAGGAGCATGATTTCATGGCACTAATATGCCTTAAAGAAGTAGGTTGTTTGTTTTATAATCAGATAAAAATCTGCACAAGGTGAAGTGACCCAGCCACTGAGATCACATTGCACATTCTCTTTCATATTTCTTAAATTATGAATTCTGTAGTTTTTTGAGATGTGCAATCATTTGATTGGTGAGTGCTACTCTGGAAACAAAGCATGCTGAAGTACAGCTACTTAGGTAGCTGCATTCCATGAGATCACATTTCACTTCTGAACCTTATTCCTTGGGGGGAGCTCACTTTCAGAGGTGTGTTTTTTTTCCTGTTATTTCCCAGATTAGTTTCACTTAAACCCAGAGAAATACCTACCTGGTAAGATGTAAATGTGGGTCATAAAAGGGGTTATTAAAAGAATTTTCTCAGAAACAGAATAGATGAGAGAATTTGCAAAGAAAAAAACCTACATGGGCTATAATATAAATTCTACTCTTGGATTGCAAGGATTCCATGGCTGCACTGAGATGTGTACAAATGTATGTGAAGGCACGATTCAAATTAAGCTATTCTAAAATTAACCAAGCTATATTAAAATTAACCAAGCTATTAATAGAATCTTCATGAGAATTTCCTGGAAGAGGGACAAAAGAAGAAATTCATTCCCTTTCTCTCCTGGATGTATCAGTATGCCAAAAGTTTTCCAGAACATAATTCCCTAACATTCAAGTCTATTCTCTCTTAAAGGCTGAGGCTTATGTCATCTTGGCATGCTTTAGGATTACGGCAAGGAGATAAAAGTCCATTTTTCATTCAACTCACACTGGTTGAGAATACACCAAATGCTAAGTGATGGGAATGAATAGAGGCATGACATCTGCCCTTGGGGACTACAGTCCATGGATGGACAGCACTGGAGCCTGGTAAATGCAGATGAAACAGCAAATCTGACAAGTCTCCAGACTGATGCACTGGGTTTTAACATACATATAAAGATCAATTGAAACCAGTTTTTTTAAACTATGCTTTAAATAAATTCCATATCATAATCGTAGCCAATGTATACCATTACACTACAATAACTGCAATTTTCTAGATATTTTTTATTCTTCTGTAGTAATTGTTTAGAAATCTGGTTTCCTGAGGTCATTTTGTCATTTTAATGTCATGCTTGACAATGGTGTGTTTTCTCTTCCCTAGAGTTAACCATAAAGACCCAGTGCCTAGTTGTGAAATACATCATTGGGAATTAATTATAAACTAATTATCGGTCATCGTTTGAAAACAAAGTTTTGAACTGGCTATAGGACTCAACAAATCTGCTTGGTTTAAATACAATCTGTTAAGCTTGATACACAGGTAGATGAGGTCTCTATTCTCATCAAATACGAGAACAGAGAAATAGGAGTGCAAAACAGCAAAATCTTAGCGTAGGTGAAAGAGCTTCCTTCTACTAGTGAGGTTTAAGTATTGAAGTAACAGTAACCTGGTGGCAGATGTACGCAGTTTCTATAGGACGGGAATGGGAAACGCGTGCTTTGGTTAACACCATTGCTATTGATCTCATGCAGATTCTATGAACCACCTCATTTCAGCAGCCAGTTTTCCCAAATAGTATATTTGTGTATTTTAAGCTTAGCTCTCCTTGTTTTTCTCAAGTTGGTAGGTCACCTCCCTGACAACCTTAGTTTAAGAAAAAAAAAAGTCGCTATAATAGAAAAGGTTTTTTCAGGCACAGACATGTTTGTCCACAGGTTTACCAGCTTCGATGGAACAGTCCCAGATTTCACAATGCAGTTTTCAAATACCATCAATCATTAGAATAACAATATTACTATTTTCCTAACAGGTTTCTTAACGATGCATTTTTGGGACTACATTAAAAGTAAGATCACCCTGTAATTATCTTAGAAACCTCGTTCCTTGAATGGAATCCAAGGAAGACCTACATTTTATTGAATTCTGTATAGAAAAAGCTCTCCGAGTGAGATTTCAATGGGTGGATTTGTGGTTTGGAGCCAATTACTTGATTTTTTCAGATTTTATTCTGCTTATTTATTGGTACTCTGCTTCATTTCAAAAGGATTTGAGGCAGCTGTTTTATATATATATATAAATGGGATATATATATATTACAAAACAAAAATTAAGTGAGGAACTCAGGGCAAATAAAAACAGAAACAGAAATGATAACACAGAACTAGATGTGTATTTAGTGCATAAATGCAGAACTCTGATATGCTCTACTAAATTTGCCAATGAGGGGCACCATGAAAAATAATAGAACTTATGGTCATGACAAGAAGATGTATTTCTACGTGATAAGAACAAATTTTTCCCCATGTGGGCAGAGGCTTGAAATAGCATAGATCATTCAAATCCACAGATAAGCTCAAACCCAGATTTTGCTAGCTACATGTGTCTGGCAGATAGTGGGTTTTCAAGAAATATCTGATGTTAAAAGAATGAATGAATTGGAGGAAAATGAAATATTTATTCAACAATTATTTGTGAAGTGCCCATTATGTACTGTGGCAGATATTGATCCCATGATAAGTCAGATAAAAAAAAATCCAGCTCTTAAGAAATAGGGGAAATAGAGCTAGGTCTGGTGGCATGTGCCTGTGATCCCAGACACTTGACAGACTGAGGCAAGAGGATCACTGGAGCCCAGGAGTTCAAGGCTGCAGTGAGCTATGATCATGCCACTGTACTCCAGCCTGGGTAACAGAAGAATACCCTGTCTCTTAAAAGGAAAAATAAAATGGGGAAAATGGGATATATAAATATAGTGAAAGCGTCAGGTGAGATGAGGGAGTTGTAATGTGCAGTGAGGGTTCAAATACGAAGAAGTCCTTCTTCTTCTGGAAAGGCCATAAAGAATGTCACATTAGTGTTGGGACTTGTGAAATGGGCAGAATTTTACCACGTAGCAATGAGAGAAAGACATGCCAAGCAGAGGATCAGCATGAATAGGCCTCTACTAGCTTGCTGTCCTCTAAGAATTTGTGCTGTGCCTCCATCAAGGGAAAGCAAGGAACTAGTTTGCCTGAGTACATGATTTATGCATGACTTACACATGCAATCATAAGAAATAATGCTGGGAAGGCAGGTGAGGGCTCACGCACAGAGAGACTTGAATGTCACACTGAGCTGGCTGGCTCTCCTCAGGTGGGAAATAATTGGGGAACTGATGAAGGTATGAATCCGGAAGGCTGAACTTTAAGAAAGCTGCTGAGACATAGCTTCCTCGCCTCCGCAAGGAGCTAAGAAACCACATTTACACTCCAAGTTGATTTAACAAATCAAAGGGAAAAATATCTGTACTTTGAGTCCTGTGTCTGCATTCATCATTAACCTATGAGAAATACAGTTGTTTAATATGTGGACAGGCAACACAATTTACAGCCACTTTAAAGTTTTCAACAATAGATTTCAACAACCAAACCTAACAACGTTTCATATCTATCTAATAGAAACCGTAAAACCTCAGCGCCAGGCTTTACTGAGCTTGAGTGTAAGGCTGCTTTTTTTTTTTTTTTTGAGACAGAGTCTCACTCTGTTGCCCAGGCTGGAGTGCAGTGGCACGATCTTGGGTGACTGCAACCTCCACTTCCAGGTTCAAGAGATTCTCCTGCCTCAGCCTCTAGAGCAGCTGGGATTACAGGCGTGTGCCAGCTCTACTTATTAGCAATGAACTAGTAGCTAATCAAATGCCTACATAATGGTCATGATGAGTCTGTTTAAATAAATGGTGGGTGGAAGGGAGTTGTTTGATTTAACAATCTATCCTTCTTCAGAATCTATAGGTCAGCCAGAATATAAAACTAGTAATTATTGGAAGACAAAACAGAAACTCCTTCAAAGAAATCTCTCTACTCTGTTCTGCTGAAAAGGGCTGGTAAACCTGACATTCTTTCTTTCGTCAGAAGGCAAATCCAACATTTGTTGGAAGTCTGCCTTACAAGGAACCTCTGCTTGTCTGCAGCATAAACGGAAGCTATACCAGTTTGAAAATCCACATAGAAAACTGGAGAAAATTGCTGTCCCCTTTCACACTAAGTTTTACCAGGGGCCCAAGATATCAGAGGAAAGTCCACAGAGGGCCAGCCACAGGTTTACCTAATTATGAATCTCAGATTAGAACATCTTATTGTGTGGAAAAGTCAGAAATCATGAAATGTGTCTGGGGCCAGAGCGGGGGTCCGCTTATGGAGTCTACGCAGCAGGTAGGGTTCACTCTTGGGGTTTAAGCCTCAGGTCAGTGAGCAATGCAGAGGTGGCCCTAACTTCCTATGCGGGAAAGGGAGGAGAGCCAAGGAAACACACTCCAGAGGTCGCCACGAGGACAGTGCGGCAGAGCTCCATTTTCATGCCATTTGGAATGAGACTTGTGAAGGAAGACGTTTCTATCCAAAGTTTTCACAGAGCCTTTGTTTCCCCCGTACCTGTGTAACTGAGGACCCATCTGTCTGCAAAGACTTCTGGAGATCCTGAAAGAGAGGCACCAGCAAGTAATCAGTGGTGACCTGGCCATAAAAAAGTATTTGAAATTAAACAGTGAGCAAGTGTAGAAACAGCATCCCAAACCTCGGCCCCACCGCAAGCAGGAACCAGAAAGCTGAAGTTTCACCAAGGAGTTTACTTCGTATTTCTCACTGGGAGTGGGGATGGGTCGCAAAAAGCCCCTTTCATGTACATAATTGTTGGTCCTATGTCCTTATTTTATTTTCTCTAAGACTTTTAGAAGAAAGACTGTTTTAATTTTTTATTTGTTCTCCTTTGAAATGCTTTCCTCCTCTTGCTCTGCTCGAGTAATGATGCATGCATCATTCTGAAACACCTGGACAGTCGCCTTTTGCCAAAATTACTTCTCTAAGAAAATCGAATGTTCTTCTTTGGGGGACTTAGATCCCACAGGGGATGATGGAAGTTTTGTAGCCCATCAAAGGTGAATATGTGTTCCACAGCATCAACTAAAACAGTGCACGACATCGTTGAACTGTGTTCTGCACACACGGAATCACAAAATCCCTACAGGACTTTCACAGACAGCTTTGGGCGTACGGTCTTCTGACAGCAGGTAGTCCTAACGTCCTGCTCTTTGGGGCATTTAGTAGATGCTGGTACACATAAAGACAGACAATGGCTTATTAGAACCAGGAAATGGGGCGGCCTGGATTTTTATGGTAGGGACTCACTCTGTGCTTTTCTTATTTGTTTTTTTCTATTAAGTTTTCTTAATAGAATGGTAAAACTGATGGTAACATTGGCTCAAGGGAATTGTGAGTCACGTGAATTTCGCCTGCAGTGCAGACTTTGAAGGACTGTGTTCATTCTGACTTGGGGATAAAGAGAATGTTCCATGCACATCTATTGATTAGTCTTGGCAGTTGCTGATACACTTGTCTCATTCGCACTCCCAAAGGCGAGGATTTACACTGGAAATCATAAACCCCCACTTTCCAAAGCAAAGATACTGTTAATGTTACGATGGTGTATAAATACCTCAACTGTCTGGGCTGAGAGAAGGGGCTGCAGGTTTTTTTTTTTTTTTGAGACGGAGTTTCGCTCTTGTTACCCAGGCTGGAGTGCAATGGCGCAATCTCGGCTCACTGCAACCTCCGCCCCCTGGGTTCAGGCAATTCTCCTGCCTCAGCCTCCTGAGTAGCTGGGATTACAGGCACGCGCCACCATGCCCAGCTAATTTTTTGTAATTTTTAGTAGAGACGGGGTTTCACCATGTTGACCAGGATGGTCTCGATCTCTTGACCTCGTGATCCACCCGCCTCGGCCTCCCAAAGTGCTGGGATTACAGGCTTGAGGGGCTGCAGGTTTTTAAGAGAACAGCTTTAGTCCCCATTCCATGTAGTCACACCATCTGATGCCAGGACTCCACATTCCAGCTTTTCTCACTGTGTTAAAGAAACGTTACTGTTTAATTCATATCCAAAGTTATAAATACAGCTTGTAAATTTTACTAACTTGTTTCTTTTTTGTTTGGTCCTTGAGAAGTACAACTTGCATTTGCAGATGGTAATTTCTAGTGTTGTTCTCTGCTGTTTTTTTTGGTATGAAATTGCTGTATTTGTTAATGTTTGTTGGTTTTGTGGTTTTTAATTCCCCTTGATGTGCTGTACAATGTAATGTATCATGAAGAAAGAAATAATATGCAGATGTATTATGAGATGTGTTTTATTTTCAAATGTGTGGTGTTGACAATATATTGATTTATCAAGATACTAAGGGAAAATTCTAAATTTAACGAAATGTGTATATTTTAATAAATGCATAAAGCTTTATTGTGTGCCTTTAAATTTAAAAATGGGTTTATAAAGAAAGTCAGAAACAAAAGTGTCTTACTATAAAATATCCATAGCGATGTAAAGCTTTTACACAAGAGACTACCAAAAAAAGAAAGAAAGAAAGGAAAAAGGAGCCTTCCCATATTTTGTTAACCTTAACCAATACCTACCTGAAGTCTGTTACTTTTTTTCCATTCTTAAATGGAGATGAATAAGTGAATTTTGCCTTAAGTGTGTCAATTGTCCTTTGTAGAAAAGCCAGATAAATGAGCTCATTTTGAATTGCATTATTGTGGAAAAATTCATTTTCAGAATAAAAATTTTTTTAAACCACAGCTAATCGACTAATAAAATTTAAATTTGAAGAAAGTCAGTGCCATCCTACCTCTTTAAATTTACTTTATTTCCATGAGAAGAACATAAAAGTTCCACTTTAGTGGGCTCTCAGGAGAACCTGAAGTGGTGCTGTCTCCCTCTCACCATGTTCTTCTAACAAGGGTACAGGACTCTGTCTGGGGCCCTCCTCACTATACTTCCTCATTAATTACCCCACTCCTGGCCGGGTGTGGTGGCTCACTCCTGTAATCCCAGCACCCTGGGAGGCCAGGGCAGGCAGATCACAAGGTCAGAAGTTCAAGACCAGCCTGGCCAACATGGGGAGACCCCTTATCTACTAAAAATACAAAAATTAGCTGAGTGTGGTGGCAGGCACCTGTAGTCCCAGCTACTCAGGAGGCTGAGTCAGGAGAATAGCTTGAACCCAGGAGGCAAAGGTTGTAGTGAGCCGAGATCATACCACTGCACTCCAGCTTGGGTGACAGAGCGAGACTTTGCCTCAAGAAAAAAAAATTACTCACTCCTTGTATACTCCTACTCAAGCCACAGCCCCCCACACCTTCTGCACCATCTTACATCTAATACAGAACATTCAGTTCATTGCCCCTCATTTGTTTTAAAGACAAATTAGAAGAACGGTACCTGCCTACAGTCCCAAACCAAATAACCATAGCATTGATGGTGGCTTAATTTATCTTACTTGTTGATGGTATAGGTGGCAACACCTGGAGAAAAAGTAGAGAGTGTAGCAGGGTCACACATTTTCCATGTCACATGGGATGCAAAGAAACTGTCATATCGTTATTTCCTGTAACTCAGTGATCTCCCCTGCAAAGCTCCATCTGCCTGGATAGTAAGGGAGGAAAAACAAGCCTTACATATGTTAGTGTTTTATATAATAATGTGTTATGTAAAACACTATAGCAGTTTCATGGCTGGGCGCCATGGCTCACACCAGTAACCCTAACACTTTGGGAAGCTGAGGAGGGTGGATCACTTGAGGTCAGGAGTTTGAGACCAGCTTTGCTAACATGGTGAAACCCCATCTCTAAAAATACAAAAATTAGGCGGGCATGGTGGCACACACCTATAATCCCAGCTACTTGGGAGGCTGAGGCAGGAGAGTCACTTGAGCCTAGAAAGTGGAGGTTTCAGTGAGGCAAGATCACAGCACTACACTCCAGCCTGAGCAAGAGAGCAAGACTCCATCTCAAAAAAAAAACAACAACAACAAAAAACCAGAGCTACTATTCAACCCAGCAATCCCATTACTGGGTATATACCCAAACAAAAATTATCATTCTACCTTCTACCAAAAAGACACATGAACTTGTATGCCCATCACTGCACTATTCACAATAGCACAGACATGGAATCAACTCAGGTGCCCATCAGTGGTAGATTGGATAAAGAAACTGTGGTACAGATATACCATGGAATACTATGCAGCCATGAAAAAGAGTGAAATCATGTTCTTTGTGGCAATATGGATACAGCTGGAGGCCATAATCTTAAATAAATTAACACATGAAGAGGAAAACAAATACCATATGTTCTCACTTATAAGTGGGAGCTAAACTCTGAACACTCATGGATATAAATATGGGAACAATGGACACTGGACTACTTGGGGGTGGGAAAGAACTACCTATTGAGTGCTATGCTCACTACCTGGGTGATGGAATCCATACTCCAAACCACAGCATCATGCAATATCCGCATATAACAAAACTGCACACGGACCCCTGTATCTAAAATAAAAGTTGAAATTTTAAAAAATAATAAATACTCCGTTCGAAATTTAGGAGATCTTCATAAGCCAAACATTGCCACATTTAAATTGACAGCTCTTCCACATTTTATTTCCAGCTATCAACAGTTCCCTGACAGGCAAAGAGAGTCTTTCTGTGCCAAATTCTCTTTCTCTTCATTCCCCACCTGAGGATAGGTCCTTCCATTCTCTCAACAGCCTCAATCAAATCCAGGGCAGAAAAAAACACCTAGCTCTAAGGCTCCAAGAGAAAACCATGTGCTCGCATTTCTACAACCTAAAAATCGCAACTTTTCAAGCTTTTATTACATCTATGTGGAGCCTGATGCTTACCCATCAGAGCCATGGAGAGTGTTTTCAGCAAGGAATGAGCCCTTATCTCTATGAGATAAGCATTGCAGCAGGCTTTCCTTCAGAGAGGGGAAATAAGAATGATTTGTGACTCTAATTAACTTCAAACACAGCAACAGGAATGCAATTTGGAACTTAATCCAAAGAGGAAATAGTCCATCCCAATTCAATTCTGGTGGCTGGAGGACTGATTTAATTTCCTTCCTCGTGGAGACACTCTTCACAGGGTCTGGTGGGGAGGAGCAAGGGGTTTCCTGGCAATGGGATTTCCCCGTTTTAGGAAGCTCTATTTCCAAAGCAGCCCCTTTCACGTACTGGGATTGAGTTTAAGATGTGGATACAATGTCCTTGGCTTCCTCACTTGCCATGTCAATCTTGTAAGAGAAGGTGGAGATTGGATTAACCAACGTTGGTGGAAAGGGCAGGGAAAAATGTCCTCCAAGGATACTTCCATAGCAAGCGGTGAGCCTTGACGAGCAGCAGAGGGAAGCACCTCTGCGCTATCTGCTCTCTGATGCCAGAAATTTCTCCACTGGAAACAAAGTCTGGCCTTCCTCAGTAAGGAGATCTTTAAGTTCCTTCACAGTTGACTCCCCCTGGAAGTAGGAACACGGCGGTCTTGATTCACCCACATTGAGATGTGAATGACTGACATCATCAGTTCCTTCTGAGAAAACAGTTTTCAAAAGCCATGAGAAAATACCCTGAGGTTCCTGGGTGCCTGAGAGGGGATTGAGGGGACTCGGGTACAGAAGGAAGAGGCCAGGTTCCCAAAGACACACTTGGCCCCGTTCACTTGCCAACTTTTCCCCGAGATAGTTCTAAATATAGCAAGGGCTGGAAAGCACCATAAACCTACCCCGAAGTGAAGCCCCCGAGGACCACTCTGAGGGGAGAGTTGGCTGGGGAGTGCAAAGGGGCTCAGACTTAGAAAGAGAGGCTCAGATCTCCATTGCTGTCTGTGCCCATGCAGGCAAGCCAGAAGAGCAGTGAACGTTGCCTCCCGCTTCCTGCTGCACGCTGGCACATAGCGCAGAGCCTGGGACACATGAGGCACTCAATAAATATTTCCCGAAGGAGTGAATACATAGAAGTTAAGTTTTCCAGCCAGGAGCAGTGGCTTATGCCCGTAATCCCAGCATTTTGGGAGGCTAAGGTGGGCGGATCACCTGAGGTCAGGAGTTTGATACCAGCCTGGCCAACATGGTGAAACTCTGTCTCTACTAAAAATACAAAAACTAGCCAGGGATGGTGTCAGGTGCCTGTAGTCCCAGCTGCTCAGGAGACTGAGACAGAAAAATTGCTTGAACCCAGGAGGCAGAGGTTGCAGTGATCTAGGATTGCGCCACCACACTCCAGCCTGGGGTGACAAGAGCAAAACTCTGTCTCAAAAAAAAAACAGTTAAGTTTTCCTTCATTATCCAGAGACCCTCACCATGCTCCTGCCAAAGCAGAGATCAATTTCAATCACTCTGTTTAAATATTCAACAGTTCTATCTGAAAGATTTCAGATCCTTTGAATCACTTTTAGAAAATGGACCTAATAAAATAAGTCACTGGATTTATTTATCTATAACTACAGGGGGAAAAAGTATCAAAAAAAATTTGAAATCGACTTAATGCCCCAAACTAGAAATTGTTTAAATTAATTATGGTGTAACTATAAAATTCAATACTGTATAGCTATCTAAAAACAAGTTTTCACCGGGTGCGGTGGCTCACGCCTATAATCCCAGCACTTTGGGAGGCCAAGGCTGGTGGATCACAAGGTCAAAAGATCAAGACCATCCTGGTCAACATGGTGAAACCCCGTCTCTACTAAAAATACAAAAATTAACTGAGCATGGTGGCGCATGCCTGTAGTCCCAGCCACTTGGGAGGCTGAGGCAGGAGAATTGCTTGAACCCAGGAGGCGGAGGTTGCGGTGAGCCGAGATCGCGCCATTGCCCTCCAGCCTGGGTAACAAGAGCGAAACTCTGTCTCAAAATAAATAAACAAACAAACAAATAAAAACAAGTTTTCAAAAAATGCTTAACGACACAAGGAATCGTAATTATGTTAAATTTTAAAAGTAGGATGCAAAGTGTATATTTAGCATGTATTTAGTTTTGAATAAGATGTGTACTTTGTATAGCATAGAAAAATATTTGGAAGAAGATTATATAAAGTGTTCACTATTGTTACCTCTAAAAATTCTGATTTGGGTGGTTTTGCATTTTCTTTTTTATATTTTTTTGTTTTTTCTAGATGTTCTTCAAAGTCTATTTTACTTTTCTAATCAGAAATAAAAATAATCTTTATTTCTTATGACATAAGGGTCTTTTCAAACATTTGTTACATTCTCACTGGCAAACCAAGAAGGTGTCCTGGCAGCTCTTTCCAAACAACGACACAAATAATAGAAGCTACTCTCTTAAGGCCACACCTTACACAGGCCACTCTCTCTACATGGGATATTTAGATTTAGGTGGCTTACATTCCATCAGCAGAAGGAATTCATACTCAGAGTTCACTGGCTTGGATGTTTGGCCTCCATGTA